GGGGGGGTGAAGGGATCACTATTGGTACTTTAGCTCTTTGCACAATTGTAAAGCGCCCTGGACATTTTCCAGGTGGAAAAGTGATAAATGTATATAAATGTAATTTATTATTACCATTTGATGCACACAAAAGATATACGACTGTTACTCGGTACCCTTACATATAATAATGATATTGATTCTAGTATATACTGAGAGAAAATCTATACCCCCAAAAAAAGAAACCCCAACAACAGCGCAACGGCGTCTGCGACGTAGAATTCGCGGGCTTCACCGCTGAACGCAACAGACGTGGGGATTTTGTTCTTTTTTGTGTGTGTGTATTTGAACGAGTATCTCCGTCTGTCTTCTGGGACGTTAGATCTCGAGCGATATCTTCCCCAGCCTGCGTTGGCTCTGACAAACAAGGGCGAAGCAGACACCCCCCCCCCCCTAAATTATCTAAACTGTGGCGTTTATCACGATGCTAGAAGGGAAACGGAATAGAGGGAATCTTGTTTTCGCTACAACGACTCAAGCCTTCAAACCAAGCGAAAGTGTTTGGCACTCTGATGTTGTCCACTCTGTTAACTTAACCTTTTCGGGATTGTAGCTCCATGTCCTAATTGCCATCTCGCCGGGATGGGATTTGGGTTACCAGGAGTTGGGCATTTTTGTGGCTAAATAATGCCCCTTCTAGTTCTTCCTAGAGTCTCAATCATCATCATCATCATCATCAATGCCTTTCACCCCTGGCAGGGTATAGGCCACATACAAGCTCCTTCCATTTATCTTTATCCTGGGCCATCCTTCCTAGCTCGTTTCAAGTGAGCTTCATCTCTCTCATGTCCCTTTCCACTTTCCACACATCTCCTCCATGTCTCTCGTGGCCTACCCCTGCCTCGTGCTCCCTAGGCTGTGGGTTCCATTGCAGTGACTGTCTTGTGATGTTTCCGCTGGGCTTTCAGAAGGTGTGTCCCATCCAACGCCACTTTCTTAGTCCTATTTCTGCTTCTATATATCCTTTCGCCCTGCCCTTTCCCTTAGCCCTTGATCATTTCTTCCTGCCACTTAATTCTCAGGATACTCATCATATATCTGTTGATGAAAGTAGCACTGTCCGTGTTGTCTTCCAAGTTTCGCGGCCATAGAGGAGCACAGACTTGACATTGGAATTAAAGAGTCGAATCTTGGTGTGCAGTGAGATGTTGCTTGCTTTCCAGACTTTTGATGATTGCTTGAAAGCTGACCTTGCCCTGGCGGTTCTTGTTTTTCTGCCTCAGTCCCACCTTTACCATCGACGACACTTCCAATGTAGGTAAAGGAGTCCACTTCTTCTAGGGGATTGTCTTCCACTGTCACAGCAGGGCTTGACACTTTTCCTAGCTTCACTACTTTCGACTTGTCCGTGTATATACGCAGGCCAACACTCCTTGATAGGCTGTTGAGTTCCTTGGTCTTTTCTTGCATCTGAGCATGTGTGTGAGAGAGCAGTGCAAGGTCATCTGTGAAGTCCAAGTCGTCCAGCTGCTGCCAAGGGATCCACTGTATTCCATTGCACTTGCCTCTGGTGGCTTCCTTCATGACCAGGGTCTAAAACCAGTAGAATGTAGTTTACCCTGTCTTGCGAAATATCACCGTTATCATGCTGATTTGCTCGTAATTTCATACCAATGCTCACTTATCACGCGTAGATCTTGATCTTGGCCTATACTTTTCTGATGCTCGAAAATGTTTCTTTTAAGTAGGCCTATGTCTATAGATCTAAAACTCGCTTCTGCTTACACACCCTTGCGATGCTTACTTTTTCAAAGTTTCCATTAAAAAAAAATTGTTGTTTCTTTCTTTCTTCCTGCGTGTTTCTTGATTCTAGTACCTTTTTTTTCTTTTAAATTAATTCTCTCTCTCTCTCTGTGTGCGCGCGCGCGAGCGGTGTGTGCGTGTGTGTGTGTGTGTGTGTGTGTGTGTGTGTGTGTGTGTGTGTGTGTGTGTGTGTGTGTGTTGGAAAGAGTAGGGTAGCAATAATTTGGGAAAATGTGACTGGTGATTTTTTAAAAAAGGTAGGCCACCACTTTTTGCTTGTGTATGAAATTTCGCATAATGGGTCTTTACGCTTTTGCTTTCACGTGAGTACGAAAAGAGATTATAATATATAAAATACATAAAAGTGTAGTCTAACAGTAGGCTAAGTCATAGCCCCCCCCCCCAAATCAAAATGAAACATGATCTAAATGCACCTTCTTTAATGTATCCTTCCATCTTTGATCTAAATCATAACGCATTAACTGGTTGTCACTTGCTGTTTGAACCGACTTGTCATTCTCTATCAGCAATTTAAACAAATTTAATGACATCACAGTATGAAACACTCGACTCAACCACCACTAGGTCTATAGTAAACGCTACTGTCTTTGATCTAGAGGCAGTAGACCGTGGCCGGTCAAACGGTATTTACAGTAAACCGTCATATCGTGATTATTCGACAGCTAAAGCAACTCGCAAAATTCTCTACTTTGATGATAGACTACCCCGGACAATTGACATCTCCGTCCGGGCTCGGGCTTGCAAGAAAAACACGAAACGGAATATCGCCTGACCAACCGATGCATTGCCAGGCTGCGGTAAAATAATAAAATATAGCGTATTTTCAACATCGCCTTATATCATATTATTAATCCGTATACCTCAAACAAATCAATGAAATAATAAATGAGGTTAAAAAAAACAACAAAAATCCGGCTCACATTGCAGAATGTCCCAAAAGAAAGTAGTTTTGTTTTTCGCTGTTACAGAAAATAGCCTTAACTCGTGGAAAGATTTGGCGGTTTTTTAAATATTTATTTGAACATAACTGACAGATTATTTGAGATTCTTGATTCAGACCTGGCAGATCTATCATCACTGCTTCTAGCTCCTAGCCTGTCTACTGCTTTGCTTGGCATTGCTTGGTCGATTCGTGATTGGCGATTGGATTTAATTTAGAGGAAGCACCGGTAACTGAAGTGAATGTAGTGTCGGCTTCAGCAATCAATTGCTAACGCCCAAGCTATTCTCTTGGAGGGATTTTTGTCATTTACAAGGCAGATTTCTCTTTAAAAGGACGAGGCCTTAAAACATTCTTGCTGTGACAAATTGCTTAAAATACAATCAGTATCAGTGTCAGTATAAAATTTGAGAAGAAGCACCGGCTTATCGTTTACATCGGTTGGTTTGCCTGGTCTACTAGTCTAGTTACACAACAGCCACAACACTAAAAGAAGGAAAATCAAAGCTGAAATGGGAGAATCCAAAAGCGACTTGTTGGTAAGCAACTTACACTTCTTAGTATGGGTTTTATTTTTGCCTCTTGGTAACGTTAAATTGCGACAGAGTGACGCTGTGACAACTAACGCATCCTTACTCTTTCGCAATTAACGCCGTGTTAGTGTTAGTTGTTACAGCGTCACTCTGTTGCAATTAACGCTAGATCTAGATCTACCTTTTTTTTTGCTCATGCACCCGTCTCGTAGGTTACCACGTAGGCCTACTTTTTTTTCTATTAGATCTATATTATATAAATTCTAGACAGTAAGCGATCTTTTGTGGATATCTCTGGAAGTTACAGGTCGATCTTCATGATTTTTTCACCAGAAGTTAGAAAAACTTCCTCTCTATACGGTGTAGCGCATTACTGTAACAGCAGTTTAAAATTTCTATATGTTGTGGTGGTGTTTGTTTGGTAACGTATGTCTGGTTTGGTGCGCAAGGTTTCTGGTTTGGTGCAACATATCGTCTTGTTGGGTGCGCAATAGTACCATGTTTACAGCTCTAGATCTAGATCTAGCTCTTTTCTGACACTTTTCATCTTTCTCTATCCTTGCTTTGTCTTCTTTTCCTTGCTAGAAGTTCCTGTACTGACCATAATGGAAGGCCAAGGTCAATTAGGCGTGTTCTTTTTGGGAGCTGTGCGCCCCCTGACAGGAGATTTCCTTACACCTTGTGTATGTGTTTTGATAATGGATAAAAAGAAAGGTGCTGTGGACACAAGAAGGGGAAAGAAAAAAACAAGAATAAGACTATACCTAGACTAGTATTTTAGAAGGAAAAGGACAAAAAAGAAGAAGAAAAAGACGTGAAAAGAAGAAATTGAAAAAGAAAGGTGCTGTGGACACAAGGAAGTGAAAGAAGAAAACAAGAATTAGACTATACCTAGACTAGTATTCTTTAAGGGAAAGGGCAAAAAAGAAGAAGAAATTGAACATTTTGGAGATTATATTTCCATATTAATTAATTTTGACATGAATACATTAACTTATCATCTTCCAATGGCAATATAATGCATCCAAATGGAAGGAAAACAGTCTGTTTCAGTGCACAATGCAGGTCATAAAGAAATAACTTAATAAGTAAAACAAACAAAGGGCCTAGAAGCCACACTATCAATGCCAAATAGCAAAAAAGCCGATATTGCGCACTGAAACGGACTGCCCAAATTTGGTCCGCTTCAGTGCGCAACCCTATCTAGCACGTTCCTGGGCATTAAGAAGCAGCCTGCGATAGTATTTATCGATTCTAGTATACATTCTACGATACATTAGAGCTAGATTAGCTAGATGTGCTAAATAATCGACTACTCAAGCGCTTAGTAAATTGATCGATACCGGTTACGAAAACCATTAATATGAAGGGGCAAAACTTTCCGACACCGTAGATTCACGTGTGTTGACAGGAACCTCCAAAACGAAAGTGAAATAAGCTGCATTCTGCGCATGCTCACAGAAAATGACCTCGTTTTCGCTGTTCTTATCCAAAACAAAGCAGGAGACCGGGGGTTGCGCACCAAAACAGTAGCGCGGTGATGCGGGCCTACTCTAGATCTAGAATCTAGATCTTCATTTTTGCCGCAAATCAATAGATCTAGATTCTAGATCTAGTTATTGAGTTGTTGATGTTTGAAAACAGAACTAGGAACATGCGACTAAACGTAGAACAAGACAAACTATTTTTAGTTAAGGCAGCCTTCTTGTGTGACGTCAGATCGGGGTACCCCTCTGATCACGTGACTACATGATCTAAACATCCAACCGTGTGGCACCAAAGCTTAAAAGTCACTTAAGATCGTGTTTTCCTACCATGGCACGACGTTGAGGTGTGATGTTTTTCCAGATGTACCGAATAGCGCAGACGAGCCTTTTGGCTATTCTGGTCTCACCCGGTGTGTGTTCACCGTGAAGGCAAACCAGTGTTGCGCTCACCGTGAACCACAGAATTCCACCCTGTGCCTTGAACAAACGTTCCAGCGCTCTTGTGTTGAAAGCGTGCAATTTCGTCTGTGCTCAGTGAGAGAGAAAGAGGGGGGAGAGGGAGAGAGAGGAGTAAAGCGAGAACTTCCGGGCAAAACAAAATGGCGAACCACGTAGTTTGGCTCGATTCGAAAAGTTAAATAGCCGTAGCATCTTTGTAGACGACCAAATTAATTTACTTTGTGTTTTAGCATAATTTTTTCTTTGTTTTAGTCAATTTGATCGTCCACACCAATAGACAGTATTCAGAAAGAGAGAGAGAGAGAGGGGGAGCTGATCTTGCGAGAACTTCCGGGCAAAACAAAATGGCGACCCATGGAGTTCGCCTCAATTCGAAAAGTGAAATAGCCCTATTAGCATCTTTGTAGACAATCAAAATAGCTTTCTTTTGTGCTATAACGTCATTTTTTCTTTGCTTTTGTCGATTTAATCATCCACACGGATAGACAGTATTCCGAAATGAGGATTAAAACTGGTCTAGTTTCACACCGGGTGAGAATAGCCAACGCTGGCAAGTCTTACCCGGGGTGAGAGGTCGATCGTATTTTTATTCTCACCCCGGGTGAGGGTAGCGACTTTCATAGATGATGCTGCTGCTTCTTTCATAGATTTTGCTGCTGCTTCTTTTCTTCGCTTTGTTTATCGGGGGGGG